TCGCCACAAGTTTCTCAAGTCGTGTCTTGGAAGTTTCTCGGAAGTTTTTCCAGCTTTTCTCGAACTTCATCCAGGAGAGCTACTTTCGTCTTTCTCTGGATGTTTTTTCAGCTCCATTCAGAAGCTAATTCAAACATTCCCCGGAGTTTTCTTCCGGAATTTTCCGATAATAGTTCAAAAGCTAAAATTTTTATTTGATTAACGGCTTTCTCAGTCTTAAAACACTGCAACGACTACGATGCAATTTGTCCGACATTTCGGCCATAAGTTGTGGCTTTTTTCAAGGGAAAATATTGTTTGTCGTTATTGTCAATAGTTTAGTCGTTGTTGTGTTTTCCATATTTTGGTTTCATTTACTGATATTTAATTGAAAAAAACACTACTTCGTCACAATTTTGAGGACAACGATAATTTTAAATATTAAATTAAAATAATTAAAGAGTGAGAAAGCCGTCAAACAAAGCAATTCCCCTCAAATCCCAGTCGTCACCATGGTTAAAATTTTCGCTTTCAAAAATATAAAATTAAGGTTCTACAAAGGGTAAGTAATTTTGTGTTCTTCTTATTTTTTAAATATCATAAAATCATCATCATTAGTTTACACATACATTCATATATTATGAATACGAAAATTTAAAACATGTATTTCGTGATCTTAGACCGAAAATTTCCTGGGTTAAACACATTCACTTTATTTACTTACTTGTGTTCTTCGAAGTATAGCACAATTAAACGCAATCGAATACACGAAACTCAAAGCGACTGCTTCACAAAACTCTTGGTGAACAAAATTTATCACAAAGAAAACCATTTCTACTTTATTGCTTTGCTAGCAATCGTGAAAGTATCATTGAAGCAGCGGTGCCAGATGTATTGCCTCTAGCAATGAATTTAAGTTTATAAAAACAATTAATTGCGAAGTCTGCCTCATTAACATAGATGAGTGGATATATTTAATGGTGGATAAATATCAAAAACTGATTAAATAAAACATAAATGACCATGTTAGACATTTTACCGGTCCAATTAAAAAAGTCACAGAAGATTGAATTCAACACTAACAGGGTTGATGGCAGCAGTGCACGTAGCCTGGTATTCACTTTCCCGCTCAGGGGTGTAAACAAACTTGCATACAGCGCAGTCTGGCAGTGCGAATGTTTTGTCTGCTACATTCTTATCCACTAGATAGTGTGACATCACATTTGCTGTTGTATTGAAATGAAGGGAGAAAAGAGATGGTTAAGTTTTCCGCACCATACCAGTTGATATTTATAAAAAATGGGTAGCTTTGGCGTGGGGACATGCAATTCCAATGAATTTTACCAATACATTTAGAAAATGATGATCGAAGAATATTTCAAAAAGAAGAATTAAACAAAATAATGACCCTTTGTAGAACCTTAAATAAATAGTAAATACCAACAAATACCGATTTTGTAATACCTTTGATACCGATAAGCTTTAAAACAATCTGGCAACGCTGGGCAGGACGGCGAAGCAGGAAGGACAATTTCAAAACTGAATTCTTACATTTGATAAGCGTTTGCTAGTACAGAGGTTTGGCGTGCCAATCATATGGTTGGAAAAATATTCAGGCTTATCAGTAAAAAGTGATCAACTTCCCCCCGTTTTGCGGTACTTAAATGTTGAGTTTGAGTATACACTCATTATTCTATTTGAATGTTAATTTCCTCATGAAATTTTTTTTTCAAAAGACAACTTTTATTTGTTATGCATAACAGTGATCAGCTAACCCCACATGCCCCGAAAATTCAGAGCAAGTAAATGAAACGCTTGCTTTGTTTGCTATCACAAAAAATGACAACTTTTGCATTGGAAAAGATGGTTAGATACGTTTCCCTTTTTGATTTAACGCACAGAGGAGTATTTGCGTCGAAAAATTGGCCAAAATGATTTTCATTCATCTTTGTATTTAAATCGCTGTGTATTGTTAAAATAACATATGATTTTGCCTTACAAAAGTTTAATCAATGGATTTTATCCACCTAAGAGTGATATATTGGACTCTTTATGGAACCAGGGCATTGCTCATTTTTGTGTTTGCAAATTTTGAGCTCATGTCTTTTCAGGTGAACCGACAAAAAATAACCAGCCCGACAATGGCTCTTTTTGCAATACAGTAAGATCTCGTTTTTGGCAGTACGACTCAAAGGTCTTTATTTCATCATTTGTGATTTGCATTTAATAAATCCTGTGCAACGCAAGAAAGGCAAAAGCTTCGTGTTGCTGTCTGTATAGGTTAATATAGGACTTCCGAACTTTATGTTAGTCGTACATCCGGATAAAGCGGATTCCAATGAAACTTTGTGGGTGTATGTACTTTCTCTACTTAGGCTACAGGCTAAGTCTACACTTGCCCCGTAACGTGGGTAGATCACCTTTTCGTGGTACGTTACGGGATGTAAGATCTACCACCGATTCCTAGTCCTGACTTCTTCAAACTAGGGGAACAGGATTTTTCAGTAATCAAAGCAACACATCTTAGTCCTTGTTACTTTTTATGCCTTGTTGATAGTGATAAGTCCTCGGGTTGCCTGGACCGAGGATGATCTTGAAACAAGGAAAAAATTAGTTAGTTAGTCTTCGCCTATGTGATTCCTAATCTTCTAATCGTTATTCCCTAGTTTGAAGTGGTTAAGACTAGGGTTCTGATGCATGGTCATTATCGGTGTCATAGCTTGTTTTTGTTGTTAAGGAATCCAATGTTGACTGACAAAGGGGCGTGCCTTTGGAGGGTGTTCCAACTCCGAAGGGTATAAATAGCGGAACCTTTCAGTTAGAATCGATTCCTTGCGATGAAAGCAAGAATGATAACTGTATCAAAACCGAATACTTCATCATTTCTCAATAGTGATGGAGTAATACGACATGCACTAAACTAAAGACACGGGATATTAAGGGCGAACACGAAATTATTGCAACACATTCAACAGGGCATAACTTTTTTACCATTGGGTAAAAATCAACCAAATTTTGCACACTTTCTCATTGATGTGTATTGTGTACATGCTGTCAAACTCGAAGTCGTGTTTTTCGATTCAACGAAAATGGAGGTGAACCAACGCGAGTTGAGAGAACAAATTCTTTCCAAACACCTGGAATTTCCTGACCTGTCGCACCGGCAGTTGGGAAAAATGTTGAACATTCACCATTCAACCGTCTCCAGAGTGTTGAAGCGGTTCCAGCGGGACCACGGCAAAGGAGCTGGAAGAAAACCGGGACCGGAGAACAAAAAGACGGAGGGAAAGGTGAAGCGGATGATTAAAGCAAATCCCAACGTCTCAAGCCGTGATTTGGCTAAAAAGATCGGCATGTCGCAGAGCTACGTCCAGAATGCAAAGAAGAGAGCTGGACTACATACATACAAGGTACAGAACTTCCCAAACCGCGATGAGCGGCAACAATCGACGGCTAAAACTCGGGCACGGAAGCTCTACGAGAAGATACTGACAAAATATGGCTGCTGTGTGATGGACGACGAAACGTATGTAAAAGCCGATTTTAAGCAAATTCCGGGGTTGGAGTTTTTCACCGGCAAGAGCAAGTTCGATGTGGACGACAAATTTAAGAAGAAGAAAATGTCGAAGTTCGCCTCCAAATATCTCATTTGGCAGGCCATCTGCTCTTGCGGACTGAGGAGTGAGCCTTTCGTGACAAAGGGCACAGTAAATGGCGAGATCTACAAATCTGAGTGCCTCGAGAAGCGCCTTTTGCCGTTCTTGCAGCAGCACGACGAAGCTCCGCTATTTTGGCCAGATTTGGCATCATGCCACTATTCTAAAAGTGTCCTGGAGTGGTATGAGGCCAATTCTGTCCATTTTGTTCCATTTTGTTACTACAATAGATCAAATTACAGGTCGCAGTGGTATTATGTCCCGAACAGAGGAAAAAAAAGCCTACACTCCCAGATCGTTGAATTTTCAACCGCATTTTTATTATCAGTGCAGACGTAAAAAAGTTGTTATTAGAAAACCGTTTCCCTATAAAAGTACCCATCTTCCGATGTATGGGCGACTTGTAGATATTTAAGTTATCCTTCTATACAAAAAAAAACTTATTTCAAATATGTTTTTGAAAAAAATCAATATAGATTTTTTTTAATATTTATTTTTTCAGTGTAGTAATAAAAATATTTTTTTAAATGTTTTTTGTGAAAGTTCCAAGAAATTTTCTTAAATTTGCTTTGCGACCAAATTTATGTAAGTCGTATCCCTATCCCAGCTGCACCTATACGGGGGCAACCCCGGCGTAGTGGTTGGCATCCATACCTCTCACGCCAAAGTCATGAGTTCAAATCTCATCCCCGGACAAGTCAGGAATGACCCAAAGGTGTTAAAATAACTATAATAATAGTAATGATAATAATGATAAAAAAAAAAACTGCACCTATCCCTAAAATTTGAGTAAACATTACATAAAATTCTCATTTTTTAAATGAAATCGAACCGTGCTACTAACAGCAATAATTTGACAGCTGCTGTTGTTTGTAAACATACCAAATGAAATCAAACTGGCTGTCATATAATTCACTAGGCATGTAGGGACACTGTGATGTATAATAAGCAGAGCAAATGAAAGCTTTGAGTTTTCCTATTTTGACCAGTTTTCCGAACCAAATACTCCTATGTGCATCGGATGCATTAAACCATCGAGCGTCAAGTGATGCCCGGAACATATTTTTGGAATTCGGTCAGGCGTCACTAATTATTTCTGACCTAGACTTATGAGTCATGAAAACTTCCGGCCGAAAACAACAAGTGGTATGGCATGTACATCATATGATGTATCGTAAAATCAGTGTAAGTAGATAATATGAAAACATGTGAATTCTACCAGCCTACACGTAAAGAATAAAACAAGTGTGCTGAAAGCATTTCAACGACGGTGAAGATTTAGATAAGCAAATCGCTGATAAAGCCAAACAAATATTTCGTAACTACTATGTCCAACTTGGTAAATGTTCCTACATATCAACTTACCTGATCAGCAGCTTCAGAAAGCAGCCAAAGCCTCGACATGTGGCAACTTCGGCGGTGTAGGTGACGGTCATTTTGCGTGATTAGTACGTTGATTTCTGCTATGCTTAGCTTAGTCTAGTGGCGGTGGTGAGTTGTTTCGTTGTTTGTAGAACCAATTAGCAAACGATGAGTTATTGCTACCAGTTAGCAGGACCCAAGACAGATTTCTCGTACATCACACCGTAGAATGAACTAGTACGGTAAACATTAACACTTTCAACTTTTAAACACACTTTACAACTATGTATTCTTCTTCGATTTAACAAAAGACAAACCTCACAGACTTTCACTTTATTATAATGATCGCTGCTATACTGGCATTCTTCACCTTTTTCGAGATATCTCACTGCTCGGCAGTAGTGGCACAAATTAACTTTTTATTTTTTCTCAGAAACATAAACCTACGGTATGAAAACTTCTCACACTTATCTCACAAGACATCCAATCTGCACCCCGACAGAATCGCAACCAATCTCCACTGAATTCGCACTGGCACTGACTGAGAGCGGAACGACGACGACAACGACAACGACGCGCTAGTATGGTTGTCGCCGGTTCGCGGGCTCGAACTAGAATGACATCAACTTCACCATTCAGCACGTTGCCGGCTGGTCGTAGGTGCTGCTACATACAATCATATCCCATTGCGGCTCACTGTCCCGGAAGAAGCAGAAGGGTGGTTTGCTGCTGTGTGTACGCGAGTCAATTCTAATTAGCTTTGATTATACACCTTTTTTTCGGATGGCTACTAATACACATATCCCTGTTCCTAGGGTAGCTCAGTTGTGTTGGGTTCCGATTTTGGTATTTCCGTTTGGTAGATGACGTCGATTCCTATAATTAAAAATTGGACAAAACATGAAAGTATCGAATCAGTGGCAGCTAACGGCTAGAGGACGCGTCATGTTTTCGACTCACAATGAGCGTCTGATTGATGTAGCTTAACGGATGGTCAATCGTGCGGCGTAGTGTGCAAATAAGATAATGTTATGGCCCAACGCAAGATTTCCTTCACATGTTCAAGGACAAACAAAGAAGTTCGCAAAGAGAAAATTTGTAAACCGGTTTCCGTGGATTTGGGCACGAAAATGAAAATGATCGAATTCAATTAACCTTCCAGCTGTCGCGCTGGTGTACTGCCCTGCGCTTTGGTCAGAGAGCGTATAGGGCGTCGTTGTGCCAATTTGGTCGTGGCACATTTCGAGTATGAGAGAGTGATTGCAGTTACATCAAAAGTTTTTTTTTTTTTCTTTCCTTGATTTGTTTTCCATCGATCTTGTTTTCACCTGGACCCTACCTATCGACCCATCAACTCATGAACCGGGGACCAACGGCTTTACTTCCCTTCTGAAGGAAGCCGTGATCAGAGATGTTATGCTTCAGAACATCCCGGCGGCGCCGATTGGTATTGAACCCAGTCCTGCACGGGTGAGAGGTAGTCACGCATACCTCTGCACCACCTGCACCGCTGTTCATTTTTCGGTGATTTGGGTTAACCTACTGTATGGACAGAACTGTGGAGTGGAAGGCGTTTTTTTAAGTGGATTCAAAATCACTATTTAGTCGGTTAAAAAAATATATTTTCTCTACATTCGCATTACGCGCAAAATTCGTCAACATTTTAAATCATCATCATTTTCATAGTTCTTCTAACTTTGATACACCAATGGAAAGGTGTTGGTTTAAAAATAATTGTTTTTCAAAATGTAGGTATATATTTTTTTATATAGTTCGTGTAGCCTTCCAACGCAATCGCGTTAGCTTTATGGAGCCGATAATTCATTGTTCATTTTTTTTTTAACAAAATCACTTAATTCTATGTCTAGTAGGAGTTGGACCGAATACTCGCGGGTTACCCGAGGTTAGAGTGGTACATTGTCGAAGGATAGGATCAGGGGAGGAGCTTTGGGGTGGGGTTTCGTTGTCTCATCAGAGCGATGTCGCCAATATGAACGGTAGTGCGGTTCTAGATTCGTTTGGAGTTCGACTGGCTATGGTGACCAGTGGGCGACGATGAGACTCATCGAAACGGTGGGGAACAAGACAAACAAAAACTAGTGAAGAGAGAAAAACGACAAAGGAATGGAATTATTATGCTAAACATTTACAGGAAACACATAAATCGACTGCTTATAGCAGATATCGCGGGTTCCCAACGCATCTCTGATAGGGATATAGGGTTTTCTTCCTTGGGCGGCGTCATTATCCGAACATTGCCAAACTGCGTGATCGATATCATCGTAACCGTTTCCACACCGACATATGTTTATTCTATGGAGATGCGCATCTAGCGAGTAGTGGTTGGACATAAGTCTACTCATCACGCGAATGAAGTCACGACTTAAGCACAAGCCTTACAGAATAATGAAATTGTTATAATTATGACCAGGCATGGAAATCCTTTACATTCATTTACATTCATTTGCCTCTAACTTTTTACATCAACAGAATTCCGTAAAATGATGACTTTTGTGAAAAATTGAAATCTGTATCTCTTATGCATGTCGAACTAGAGTTGCCAGAACTTGTTATTGTTTTTCAGTGAATGTAATTTACAATCACTGAAAAACAATGGTGGGTTCTGTTCGCTCTGGTTCATCATGCTTAAGAGATACAGATTTGAATTATTCACAAAAGTTGTAGTTAATCATAAAACCTAAAAAAGTTTCTTGCGTTATTTTTCGGAATTCTGTTTATGACTAATTTTTTTCATAAATCAATGCACGAAATGAATGTAAATGATTTGCCATGCCTGCTTATGACTATTATTTGTAAAAACCATTCTAAAACATCAAAAAATTAGAATTATTGAATAAATTTTCCCTTGTCAATATAGAAATATCGAAGGGTTAATACATACCGTATGCGTGATAATGTTTGCACCATTGAGCAATGTCAAAATTTAAAAAAAATCTCAAAGATTTTGTTTTCGAGTTTTTTTTTTATTTATTCAAAGGGGGATGTTTCACAGAGTCTTAAACTATGTTAATCATCGAACGAGTTTCCAATTGCTGATATTACGGCCTCCACAAGCTTCCGGAATGCACGGCAGGTTCTAATAATGTAGTCTGGATCCATTTCTCTCCAGGTACGGGTCAATGTTTGTCTGAGGCTTGCTATACTCGGGTGGCGTTTAGAACAGGCCTTTGCCTTCATGATGCGCCATATTGAGTAATCCAGCGGATTAAGATCGGGGCTGGATGGCGGCCACATCTCCTTCGCCCAGAACGGAAGATGTTCCTGCAACCACTTCTGAGTGCGGTTCGAGGAGTGGCACGGAATCCCATCTTATTGAAATACAACATTTGGCTTCGGACCGTACTGTTCTTTGATCCACGGAAGAACATACTTACTTAAAATCCCGATGTAGATCTCCATGTTGATCTTTTTGCCTTCTGAAATGAACACCGGGTCCATTTTTTTGCCATCGGAAGCCACCAATGCAAACACCATAACGCTAGCAGGATGCTTGGTCAGATACACGTGCTTGTGCTCGTCGGCCACGGGGGGTTGACAATTATCCACGGCCCATACAAATTTAAAAAAAAAAAATGTATGGACAATTGTCTACGCAGGGGGAGGGGGGGGGCGTCAAGAATCCCAAAAAAAATGTCTACGTAGTAACAGCCCCTTACCGGATCTTTTCGCTTAAGGAATTTCAAGATTTTCTAGCATCGTTCGACTCGTAGCTCCCGGATGCGGTTGGTAATCATGTGAGTTTTTTTTCCGTGCCCTCGACTTCGCCCCGCAATCTTCCTTTACGATCTTCCGTGCCGTAAAGTCACTGATCCTGTGTTCCTTTGCCATTTTCCTTATTGAACGCAATGGATTCACCCGAATCTTCCTTTTGATAGCAACGATAACCCTCGGAACCCGAGCTGATCTCGGACGACCTGTGGCCACCTTCGCGGATAGTTGACCTTTCTTTTCTCGGTTTAAAACCCTTTTGACGGTCCACCGGGACACTTCCACTGCGATTGTAATGTCTTTTTGAGACATTTGCGCGTGGGACAAATCACGAATACGCTGCCACTTCGTCATGGTGCAACTGTCAAACTAAGTAAATCATTTTATTTATACACAGCCTACTACGGTATGAGCTATACGTTACGTGCATGCAAAGAAAACCAAGGCATTGGTGAAACGGGAACATTATTTGTACGATGGTGCAAACATTATCACGCATACGGTACATACACACACACTTAAACAGAGACCCTGAGTTCGGTAAAAAAAATTACCGTCTTAGATCGGTAATGCTAAAAATTACAGATGTTTCGGTATTTTCTCGCTTTATTGCTGAAAACTGTAAATGAAATAACCGAATTTCGGTAATTTTATTTTAATTTACCGAAAACGGTAAACATTTTTACCGGCAGGTCTGTAAATCAGCTTCATCACTGACTTCGGTGAAATATTTTACTGAAGTTTCGGTAATCAAAGCGTTCCATTACTGAGTTCGGTAACGGTCTAGGTAAACGTCAAATCCACCATATTGTTATTTTCAATCGACATTAAAAGCGTTAATCTTCTTCCAATGCTTTCTTGTTTTCAGTGTAGCGCCGAATCTTTCCGACAAAAACTTAAGTTTTCAGATCGTCGCCAACGGTTTTGTTCATTGGTGGTGCAATTTGCAAAACTAGCTTATTGATCACGACTGCAGCCAAATTTTTGCATGGGTTGCAGTGACCGCCACCTTGAAACAATATTAAAGCAAATAGCAGTTGAGTCGGTGACCTTTTTAAAAAATTACAGATCTCTCGGTAATTTCCGATTTGCATATCGTCCTCAAAATTACAGTTCTCCGGTAAAGTCGACTACAAATCAAGCAATGCACATCGGTAAACGTTACCGATCTTTCGGTAAATTTGACAGCTAATTTTGCTGATCCAGTTTACAGATTTTTCGGTAATGTTCTCGATTACCGAAAACATTACCGACCGTTCAGCTGTTGAGAATTCGGTAAATGAATTACCGAAGTCGGTGATTTTTTCTAAGTGTGTAGGGTGTCCCAGAATGTCTAAGCACGACTTTGGAACACCCCTGATTGTTTCAGATAACGCTTAAACAGCTGATTATTACACTGAATCATTGTTTACATTTTGACCAACAGTTTAGTGTATCGCAAGTGTCGGTTCTTTACATTTCAGTGACAGAAGCATTTCTCCGGAAAAATGCAAACAGATCGTGCAGAAATGGTGTACTGTCCCCAACATTTCTCTGAGTCAATTAGCGAAATTGAAAGGTGTAATCATCGGAGCCGTTCGAAACGCGATTCGGAAGTATGGTGATGGAGCAACTTTCCAGGATAAACAAAAATCTGGACCTTAACCGAACCCCGTGAAATCTTTCACCCGCAAGAAAAGTGCTTCGGTTCTAGGCGTGGCTAAAAAAGTGGCATCCTCGAAGAGTAACGTCCAGCGGGCCAAGGCAAGAATGGGTCTAAAGACATATAAGAAGCAGAAGAAGCCAAAGCGGAGTGAAAAACAAGCCGCATCCGTCAAATCGAGGACTCGGAAGTTATACAACCAATTGCTGTGCGGAAAATAGGTGTGCATGATTATGGACGATGAATCATACGTTAAATTTGATTACAAAACTCTTCCTGGTGATCACTACTACTCCGTTCGTGATGGCCGAAGTGTTGACGCGGATAAGTCGAAAAATTCCGTAAAAAGACTATGGTTTGGCAAGCCATTTGTGAGTGTGGTATGCTTTCCAAACCGTTTGTGATAACGGAGACAATGACAACCGATGTTTACGTGCGTGAGTGTTTAATCAAGCGTCTGTTACCCATGATCCGCAAACACCACGCCTCAGTACTGTTTTGGCCG